TCTACCTTTCTTGTTTAATAATGGCAACCCGGGAAACTTCCACGAACTTTCGCGTTGCCAGGGCCAAATTCCAATCAAAATAATTGCCGTTTTGGAATATAAATAAGTACTTGCGCCAAAAAAAGGGCGGAGGGAGATTAGCAGCCCCTGAACTCTGTCAATTGTTAAAGATCAACCCTCTAACTTCCTTCCGTGAAAATCACCCGTTAAACTAATTGATAAAGAGTTTGTTTATCTTTTATTTTAAAGACACAGAATAAATATGTATTTATTATATTTTTTATTATTAATTATATATTAATTTATATAAAAAATTTAATATTAATTTTAATATTTATAGTACATAAATATTTTTATTAGATAATTAATAAAATTAATATTTAATATTAATTTTATTATATATATTAATAATAATAAATAATAAATATGCCTGTAAGATGTAAGTGTGGTCTGACTCTGATAGCCTTTTTGTCATTTTCCCATCTAAACGGAACGGAATCCTAATTTTGTGGACCCCGGTTGGGATATGATGTCGCAATTGTACGAATCTGACACCGCACACTTTCATCAAATAATTGTGGCAAATTAGAGGTGGTGTCATACGAATAATTTTTTATTTTATTTTTTGATATAATTTTTATTGAATGAATAAATATATTTAATATTATAAATTTTATATAAATTAAAAAAATTAATTATTTAAATAATATATTAAATTATATAAAAAAATAATATAAAAAATTATCTTAAAATTATTTTCTTAAACTAAAATTATAATCAAAATGGTTGAAATAACCTCTACACCAAGGTTTGGTCAACTTAATTAAATTGGTATTTATTAATTTAAAAGTGTTAATTTAAAATTAAAATTTTATAATTTTATAATATTAAATAATTATTCTTTTAATGTATATAAAAAGAGAAAGATTGATATAGCGTTGTATTCACCTCTTCACCATTTACTTTTCATCCTAAAACTTCTTTTTTTTTTCTTGTAACCTCAAAGCAAAGTACAGGAAAAGGTGAAATCAACATGAACGAAACAAACTTTT